AGGTACTGCTTCTTCTTTTTCTTCTGCTGCTCCTGCTCTTCGCTTGTAGTTGTACTTTGCTGTTGTTGTTTCGTTTTTGATTCGTTTTCTGGGTGAGAGAAAGGGAGGGTGGGGAAAGGGGGGTCGAAAAGTTTGCATTTTAAATATTTCACCAAGAGAGAGACCAAGAGAGATGGAGCTATGCAGAACTGTAAATGTCTAGCGGAAGAAAAAACAGAGCAATGTTAAAACGAGAGAGAGAGAGAGAAAGAGAGTGGGGGATCGGAAGAGAAGACGGGGGCTGCTCTCATGTTACGTATGTGAAACATTTGAGTCATTCTGCAAGTGTGTGTGCGTGTATGTGTGAGTACTTCTCATATATTTAGAACACTTTTTTGCCGTTGATTCGATTTCAGCTTTTTGCTGCTATTGTTGTTGTTGTTCTTGTTGCACTTGCAAAAAGCTTAGGTGGTCAGAAAGAGAAGGATAGAACAGGAGAGAGTGAGGAGCAATGCGATCAGTTATAGGTCCTTTTAATACTTTTCGTTATAAAAATAAAAATTTGGAAAATATTAATTTTTCTGTGATTGTTTATGGAATTCGTATATAATAAATATTAGAAACCATTTGGTAGATAATTTATCGATTTTAAGTACAGCTTGATTCCAAGGTCCAAAATCAAAACTTGTAGTGTTTAATTAATGGCGGAAGTAAAATAATTCAATTATAATGCTTCATTTTCGTGTCCAAGCATTAATTAGTTTAAAATTTCCGTGCTCTATAATCTTTTGGGTGGTAACTTGACCCCCCCCTGGCCCACCACCCACCAGGGAATCTCCCTAGTGCCGGCGCAGTCTAGACTTGACTACCTACCCCCCACCCCCATGGTGTTTTTAATACCTCCCGAAAGCCACCCTCTTTTGGGTGGAGTCGTGCGCTTGCACGACCTCTTCCTATCTCCCTATCTTCCTCTTTCTCTTTCTCTCTCTCTCTCTTTTTCCCCAAACTCGCTTTGCATGTTTCGCTGCTGCTTTCTTCTTTTGTTATTGTTTTATTTTGTTGTTTTTTTTTTTTTTGGCAATGCCAATCGCAAAACTGTATTTGGGTCAATTATAAATATTAAACGCAATTAGCAATGAAATTTTCAATTTCATTATCACGCTGTTGGCAGCGAAAAAAAAAAAACAACTATAAAATTTCGTTGACAACGTCAACTGATAAGAGCGTTGTATATGTATGTATATATATGTATTTATGTGCTTATGTATGTTGTATATATTATGAGGTTTTTGGGGGAAAGGGGATATTGGAGGGTTGTGGGTTTCTTTCGAACAGATGTCTTCGTCATCAGTGGGTTGGTTCTGCAATGTCAAGACTGCTGTGACCTTATTTTTAAACAAATACTAGTACACACATACATAATCAGACATATGTACAAACAAAACACACATTCATATGTTGGTAGATGGGAAATTGGCACTTGCTGGAATTTTGGATTTAAATGAATTAATGGGGAAAATTAAGAAATACTATATATTTAAGTTTTTTTATTTAAGAAGACTATTGAATATATATTTAAATTTCTTTAGGAATATATATTATATATAGATTGCGTAGTAACTCATGTTTAAAGTAAAGACTTTTAGCTTCTTTAGATCTTTTACTTCCTAATAGGTTTCGATTTCAAGAACCAGTTTTAGAATCTTTGGCTTTCAGTCTCTTTTACAGCCATTACCTTTAGTTAAGTAGAACAAGAATTATAATAAATTGGTAAATATAACCTTTTCTCATAATTCTATATTGTTTTTTATTATTATTATTATCCATTTAATATTTTGCAAGATAAACATAAGGGAGTGGACTTGTTAGTTTCGAGGCCAAACCCTACAACACTTCCTTATTTCATTTGAAGGAAGAAGGACATTTGGAATGGCAGCATTAAAGGGAAGAGAGACAAGGGAAGGAAACGAGGAAGGAAGGGAATGCAAGTCTGCTGGCACATTCGTGCTCTGTAAATGTAATTGTGTTACATTCGCAAAGTCCTTGACAAATGCCAAAGGATGACCAGGGATTGCAGCCGCAAGTCCCCGCAGAACCGCCCACAGAACGAACTGCAATGAACCCCGTCTCTCTCTCTCTCTTTCTATTCCCCCCATCTCTTTCGCTGGTCTCCGATGCTTGTCTTTGACTCGAAATGACCTTAAACTGGGTTAAAGCTCGCCAAAGTTACCTCAAATACGACGCTGGCGGTGGGGGTGTTTGGTGTTGTAAATTGAACTTTCTGTGCAACAGAGCATGGCGCGAAAGAGAGGCAGCTAGCAGAGGGAGAAAAATAGAGAGAGAGAGAGAGAGAGAGAGAGAGAGAGAGAGAGAGAGAGAGAGAGCGACAGTTTGTTTGCCTAAATGCAACTCATGAATCATTCACACGCAACTATGAATATGCAAAAGCGAATCGCTTTGAATGCACAACATGCACCACAACAACAACAATGGCAAAAGTGAAAAAAAAAAAAAACATTTGAACAAAAAACAATATAAACATAATAATGAGTGCCATAATATTAATCGGGGGAACGAAATTTCAAGCAAATGCAGGCCAGAAATTTATGGATTTCCCCATAGAATCGTATAGACAACATAAAGAAAACCTAAACTTAGGTCACACTGCGTATGAGTAATATCATTTTTGAAACTATCCCCAAAACCCTGTAAAAACCCCATGAAATCGTATAGGAACCTAGAAAATTTAAGTCTTTTGAATATTTCTTAATGAAAAAGGTTAGTCAACACTGCGTATGAGTAGCATAATTTTGGAATTATATTACTCATACGCAGTGTTCTGTTATTTTGAAATAGATAAAAAATAACTATCAAAAAATTCTGATAATATGATATATATAAAGAAAAGTAAAAAAGAAATAGCTTCTGAATATTTTCCATTTTAAATGATCAGTCAACACTATGTATGAGTAATATAAGTTTTAAAATATCCCAAAAACCCTGTAAAAAACGCTTCAAAAACCTTTCCGTATAAAAAGTACATACATACATACATACCATTGCTGTAGGAAATACAGTTAGCAGCGCAGCTGTCGGCTCTTCTAATTGCCTTTCATGTAATTCATTTTCTATTTGCCAAGAGAAAGTAAAAACAAAAAAAAAAAACAACAACAAAAACACATACGCACATCACACACTACCCATAAAGCACACACATCAATACATTTTATTGCTCATCAAAAAAGTTTGACGGCTATGCTTCGTTTTCTATTGTTGCTACGTTTTACTGTTTTTGGTTTTTTCATTTTTGTGTAGGCGTTAAGTCGACGGCGCAGCTCGACTAGGAGGTAGATAGAAAGGGAGGGACGGAGAAGACTTTAGGCAGAGCTTAGAAAAAGAGACCGACAGAAAAAATGAACCCCAGAGCAGAACGTTTGAGAGAGCGGTAGGAGCCAGAGAGCAGCAGCGGCCGAAAGGTGAATGACTTCAAGTTGCGCAGTCAGCTCGCTCTATCCCTCCCGCCTTTTCACAGCCCCCCACCTCCGCCACCCATTATTCACTGTTCCTCGCTCTCAATCTCTCTCTCTCAGACTATTTTAGCTCTGGCATCAGATCTATTTAATTGTACAGTGCGCACTTGTTGCCGAGAATGTGAACATACATAAGTAGGCTATTTTATTTTTCAATAATTAATTAATATTTTTATTGAAAGCTAATTCCGTAATTTATAAATCAGATTAAATCATTGTTAACTTGCAATTCAGAAAAATGTAGTTATTGGAAAACTATTTATTACTAACTTGCAAATCATTAATTTGTGGTTCTTTTGGAATGCTCACTGTATTTTATTTTCTTGCCCAAAAAACAAGCCCCACTGAACGTTCAAACAGAACAGCTGAGAGCTTTTTGGCGCTCGTCGCGCCGTGAAAGCTCCACCACTTGGCTCTCCCCATCGTTGGCTCTCTTTGTTACTATGTTTATGCCATGCAATACATGAATTCTTGAAAACATTAAACTAAATAACCCCAGATTATGCAACTTGAACGAATTTATGACATTTTATGAACAGAAAATTCAAAACCTGTGCAATCAGTGTTGTCAACTATTTACTGGTACACTAATAAGAGGAGAATTCACAGTACAAATATTGAATACACGAATTTGTCTACGCATGAACACAGTATGTCTCTCTTGTCGTGTGCGCCTGGCTTCGGCAAACGGCAATGACAGTGTAGCTTTACATTCTGCCTTTAGTAGGTCAACAAAATTCCGGACAATGGCCTTTCGCTTTCGTCTGTGCGCGTCTGCTGCGCTGCTGCCCCGGCGTCGCCGTCGGCATCGGCGTCGCAGCTGGCGTTGCTGCAGTTGAGAGCTTCGAAATGTAAATAGAAGCCGAAAGGCAAAAAAAAAAACACCCAACCAGCAAACCACCTCCTCCTCCCATTATACGATATGGCGACGCGACGATGAACATGAAGATATTTCAGTCGCCGTCGCCGACGTCCCTGCTGTTGCAGTTGTTTTTGTTGTTGTTATTATTATTATTATTATTATTATTGCACTCTTACTGTTGTTGTTGTTGTTGCTGCTGCTTTTGATGGCGTAATAGGCGCATGCAGTTGTATGTATATGTATGCAATGTGTGTGTGCATTAATGCGAATACAGTTGAAATTTCTCCAAGTGGAACTTGAGGAACTTCCCCAATTGGGAATGCCTTGAGCGGCGCCAAAAAATATTTTAATATCTACAATGTTTCATTAATGTATATAATTTTTTATGGATTTTTTATAAAAAAAAAATCAATTTCCTTTTAGGGATGCTTTAAATTATAGATATTTCAGCTTCATAATCTTTATTTTGTTTTTTATTTTTTTTTTCAAAGATCCTTTTTAAGTTCTATAAATCTTTGAAAAATTATTGAAAAATTCATTTGTTTAATTAAGTTTTGTTAATTATATGTGACAACGCCTTGAACTTGCCTTGGATTAAATGAAATCAAATTTGGCAGCTTTAGACTTCGATTTTGACGATGGAAGCTGATCAAGTTGGCCCTGGGGCTAGCCATCAGTGTCAGTTCAGTGTCCGAAACTGAATTCATTTCCCAGCCGGAAAATTATTTTTAATATCAAGGCACCTGGCAGTAGGACAACTTAACTTAACCCCCCCGACGACTCCCCCCCGCAGCTTTTGCACCCATCGAATCGAAGCGGAAACCCCTCAGGTATGTACTTATATATGCAAAATGTCTGTATGCTTGCTTGTATTTGTGTGGGTTTTATGTAGGTTAAAGGGCAGCGTTCGTTGCACTCGCTGGCAGACTGAAGGACAGCAGCCCCAAAATGGGTGGTGGGTGTTCGTTTGGGGGTATGAGGTGGCCTTACACAAAAGCTATTGCTGGGTGTGGGGGGTGGGTAGGGATGGGATGGTGGTAAGGCAGAATGCGAAATGACGTAGCCAGCGAAGTCACGGACTTTGGAGTGTGCTCTCCACATCAACCCAACCCAACCACCCACTCATTCACCCTGTTTCTCCCAGCCAAACCCAGAGTGTTGCAGCCACAACTATACCCATTCCCACTCCCATTCCCAGTCTCGCCTCCTGGCATTGCATATTTATGAGGCTACACAGGCTCCCCCTCTTGTCTGCTATTAAGTTTTTGCTTCATTTTCTTAGGTTTTGTATTATTTAGGCCATAATTGGGACAATCATTTGTAGAAATTTGATTTTCATTTGGAAAATCAAGTCTAAATTAAGCCTAAAAGATCATAATAGCAAAGGCTTTTCTGGATAGTAAAATTATATACTTTAATTTGGCAAAGGACATAATAGAAATTTTCGCTAAAATGCTTGGCAATATCGATATTTTGTTAGTTGTTCTTATATTTCCCTATTCAGGAATGTTAACAAGGATTTTTATATTAATTTAAATATAAATTGTAATATAAATTTTAATAGAAATTGTAATATAAATTTAATAGAAATTGTATTAATTAAACCCCTTCAAAAGTTGTAAATAAATAATCATAAAAGTTAGAGTTATCGCCTTAAAAAAGATAATACTAAAACTATCGATAGTTATCAATCAAAAAGCATCAAAACTTTAAAACTTTAATGAAAATTTCTGCATGATAATTTATCTCCTTGTTCGGAATAGCTGTGTGTGTTTATGTGTAGTTTTCATTTCAAAAAACAATTTTCCCAAGGGACTTAAGGCAATTTTTTTTTTTTGCAGTGTCGCTTCCTCGTTCATCTTGCTCTAACGGGACTCAACATCCTAGCCAAGATGGGCAACAAAAGGCGTCGCGAGGACACTAGCAGCGAGACAAGCGATTCCGAAGACATGTTGGTACCAAGCTGCAGCCGCGAGGCCTGCCAGCGTCGCTTTCCGGATCAGGAGTTACGTGATCGCCGTCGCAGGCGTATATTCGTTCACCGTCGTCAAAAACGACGCTATACCAATGTCAATGGCAATAGCAGCGCCTCGGAGGCCGGACAAACTGAAAGAATCATGGATTGTCGTCGTCGTCTTCGCTTTAAGAATTCGCATCTGGCTGCGCCTGCGCCTTCGCCTGAGCCAGATCGTGCCTCCGAGGAGGACAACAAATGGCATGATATTGTCTTCGCTGCCTTGGCAGTGGTTTTAGTCATTTTATTCATGGAGACATATATTGCAACTTGGTTTGTCAGCTACCTATGCGGCATCGTGGCCTGCTGCACTTTCTGTTGCCTTTTCATGATGCCAAAGAATGGCAACTAGGACGTTAAGGGACAGAACTTAACAAGGCTATAGAGAACAAGACTAAAGAGGTGGAGAGACATCGGTGTTTGGCCAGGCATTACACATATTTTACAAAGCAAATATCGATAGTTCTCACCCTCTATGCAACAATTCATGATGCCAAATAACAACAACACTTCAATCATTCATTTATGCCTTTTCGCCAATTTAAACATTAATTCCTATGCTTTATAACTTCATGAAAATATCTAACAGATTTTATGTTTGGGTTCCAATCAGAAACCTTTATTCCAACGCTCAACAATTCAACAATTTATCAATTCCAACACTTGACAATACCATGTAAAAACTCAAGTCAAAAACTTTTATTCCAACGCTCAACAATTCATCAATATCGCAACTCCAACACTTGACAATATCACGTAAATTTTTACAAATTATTGTTCTCTATTTTTGGAATAAATTTACATTTATATTTATCCACAATACAAATACAAACTAATAAATAATAAGCTTTTTTTTCAAAACTCACCCTTTGTTCCTCCCACTGCTGCTGTTTGCACAGTTGTTGTTATTATTATTGTTGTAGTTGTTGTTGCCGGTAGTCTTGAATCTGTCTTTAGTTCGAACTTTAGTGTTTTGGCTTGTGGTTGGATTTAGATCGGATCGATCAATAAAGTTAATATCAAAGCCGTCAATATTTTTATTGACCCGTAGTTCACGGTTCAAATGCACAAATAGTTGGTGGCTGTAAATAAAACACAAATAAAAGAAAATAGTTAGTGAAAGCTCAATAAATTTAAGACAAAAGTTAAAAACAAACATCTAAATTAGCTTTCTTTTTTTACATACATGCCGTGACGACACCTGGCGGCAAGTTTTGAATACAACTTTCTAGGTTTTAATTCAAATTAATAAATAAAAAAATGACAAATTCCACAATAATTTGGATGCAGACCCAGTAGATGCATAAAAATTGTCATTATTAAATTTAATAATTTTTTTAAAGCATTTTTTTGCAAACATTTTTAAAATTGTACGACCACAATACACTTTAGCCGATACCAGCACCAACATTCGCCAGCGCCATCTATGTGTGCTCTGCTTGGCGCTGCTATGTTAACATAACTGTTAATGTTTCAACGGGGTTCCGAACCTGGGATTGTGTGGCTATCGATATGTTAAAAATTTAAAAAACGCTTAAACGATATTTTCCGTTGCTCTTTAAAAATGTAATTTACCCACAAAAATATAAAATAAAAAAAAATAAATCAATACAAATAGCAAGTTAAAAAGTTCTGGTTTTCCAAAAATAAATACAAAAAAATTAATTTATTTTGTGACAAAAATCGCCTATCTCTGTTATTGGTGAGTTTAGAAAAAGAGAACGCTCTCTTTGGGGCAACTCTCTTTCGTTTGGGGGCCGGTTTCTCTTCTCTTTCGGGGGTTTGTTCGCTCATTTCTCTTTGGTTGCGCCTGCACTTTTGTGTGTCAATCGGTTTCATTAACCCCGCCGAACGAATGTGCAACAGCAGCGAAGAAGAAGAAGCAGCCAAAGAAGAGGAACAAGCGGCGACAGAGTGTGAGCAGCGCAGTTAGCAGCGCAGCAAGCAGCGAAAGGTCAACAAAGTACGTTTCATGGACACATGCATTTGCTCTTCATCTTCTTCCTCTTCACCTTTCCCCCCTCTTCGGCTGCTGCTGCTGCTTCTTCCACTTGGTTTTGATTGTTTTGCTGGTTTGTTATTGTTTTTTTGTTTTTGATTTTGTTGATGTTAGTTTTGCATTTGGTTTTCGCTAGTTGAGGAATGTCACTCATTTGTTGTTGCAAATGCACCGCCCACTTAAGCATCCCAATTAGCGATGGGACAAATGCCACTATCGGAAGTGATTATGACAAAATAAATTTTTTTTTGATTTTTTGATTGATATTACTAAACACTGAATATGAATATTTTAAAGCATTGCCACTGTTATATATTATTTTATTACATTTTATTATAATATTATATTATATTATTTTTGATTTTTTTTCACAAGTTAACTTTAATATTTTATTTTTTATTTTATTTTTTATTGTATTTTTTATTGTATATAAAACATGTTCACTTTCTTTTTTTTATAATTTTTTTGTTTTGGAATGCTTTCCAGGGTCATGAACCTAAATTAAGTATAAATAAACAATTATTAACTAATGCTGACCTGCCAGCACCTCAAATCAAATCATTTGCACCTGATGACACTTCTCCTCCTCCCCCTTCTGTTTTATGATTCCCCCACAAGCACGGGTCATTGCTTTGGATTCCATCTTTCTCATTCTATTCCTCCCTATCCCTGTCTCTCTCTAACTCTCTAGGTGGCAAGAGCAAAAATGCGGAAGAATATGTAACATACGGCAGAGTGAGAGAAAAAAGAAGAGGCAACATAGAAGGAGCAAATAAAAACAAAATTAACTGCATAGTCTGGCGATCGCAGACAGTAAAAAAAAATAATGGAAACCGACAGCAAGACTTCTAGCTGAAAACAAACCAAGTCTGCAGATTTAGTTGAAAATAGGGATTTTCACATTTAGTTATTAATAATTTTATACAATTCTTAATTTATACTTTATAATTGTTGAAATAACCCAATGACTCTATAAGCTAATCAAACTGCCTCCCTAGAGAAGCCCACTTAATCGAACCCAACTCCATCCCCTAAAGGTGGGTGCAGCAATAAGAATAAGAAGAACAACAACAACCAGCTGGCCCAGAGGCAGGTTCATTCCGGAGAGGAAGAGAAACGGATATGTAGCATATCCTGAAGCCAAACCCCCGGGAACCCCACCAAATCGCAACGCAGCGCCAAAATACCAAAACACACCAAGGCAGGCGGCAAAGCCAAAGGCATGCAAATAAAAATAGATTTTTCTCGGTATATAGGATAACGACACCAACGACCCCAAAGTTGGGGCGCTGACGTCGTCGCCGGCGTCGCAGTCGACGCAGAAGTCGGCGTACTCGGGCAACGACCGGCAAAAACAAACGCATCAAATCCAAAGTTTGCCTACCCCAGGCATCCAGTGCTCCATCCCTCTCGCTCTGACGCAGTGCTGCCATCGCTTCCCTATAGCGCTCTCGCTCTCTGCTCTGGCTAATGCTCATCAGGGTGGACCTCATCTACAAGGAAGTTTGAAAATGCGCCCAAGAAGATATGGTAAACTGATCCCTATTGACCTAAACAATTATTAAAGGGATTTTTCCATAAACTTACTTTTTATTTTAAATCTGTTAATTAATATTTCGTCGGTCAGGACATTTCCAAAATATGAATGAAATAAATAAATAATTCTAAAATATAACAAATTCTAATTCTAAGAGAGGACCACCCTAATCGGTTCCCTTTCCTTCCGTGTGTTTGTCAAAGAGAAAGAAGTGGAGATATAGAGAGAGAGAAAGAGAGCGCACTAAAACGCACACATGCACGTACAGCGTAGGGGTTGCTGACCTCGCTTCTCAGGGTCACCAAAGGTTGTTGAACTCGCTAGCACGATGTTTCCCTCTCGCTCGCTCCCATAGGGCTGTCCCTTGTCTGTTGACGAGGGTCGCACGCCCCCTTCCCCATCGCTCTCGCTGCCTCCTTGTCGGTCCTTTTCCCTATTCTTCTCCTTCTCCTCCTTTCGTGCGGCTCGAAATGTGTGCTGGTCGTTGGCCTTTCCGAATGCCTCTTCCTCTTCTTCGTCCTCCTGCTCTTCGTGAACAACTCGACAACTTCCCTTGTTGTTGTTCCTGCCTTTTGTACTCCCAGTTATGCTGTTTTTTTTTTGCACTGCCTTTTTTTAGGGGAAGCAAAATGTAGGGTGCATAGTTCAACATTGTCTGAGGTTAGGGTTGAATGCTCGACGTCTGCTCCGTTTTTCCGCTTTTCACCGCTCTTTTCTGGCCCCGGCCAATGCAGACTGCAATCTGCAATATGCAGAGTGTTTGTGGTACAACATATGTAGTTCCAGACACCCGTTTCCCGGGATTGATTATCAAGACATTTGCAATTATTGTTCATTATTATTTAATTTTTAATTATTTTGAATTGTTGATGGTTTTAAAAGAATTGAAGTCAGTCTAGTTTAGTTCAGGTTCTTCCTAATCTACAACTTTCGCCACTTGGTAACAGTGATTCGGACCCGATTCTTCTAGGCCTTTTTCCGATTTTTCACTTTGCTTTTTGATTTCTCCTTCTCCACCTCCTGCTTCTTTTCCTCCTGTTCCTTAGGCCCGCTGTGTTCTTTGGCTTTTGCTGCCGCCTGGTTTATCAGTTCGGCGCGTGGTTGGCTTTTATCGGTCATTCGCCTCTTCTTCCCCACGCAATATGAGTGAGGAAGATAGCAGGTCGGTGATAGCGGAGGGGGAGGGGGAAAGAGCAAATCTAGGAGACAGAAAGAGAGAGGGATAGAGAGTGCGTAGTGGTCAGCAATGCGTCACGTTGCCATCAATCACATGCAGAGCGAAGGAGAGCAAGAGAAAGCGGCAGGAGAAAGAGCGTGGGGAGTGGCAAAGAAGGTGGCGAAGGGGGAGGCCAGAGAATAAGAAGGAAAAGCCGTGACCGTGAAGTTTAACGCCCTCCGGGCAATGTTAACGTCGATGCCACAGTCGCAGCAGCGCTGCCGCTGTCGCTGCCCACAGTCCACAGTTTGCAAGATACAATCCACAACACGGCACCTTTCGCGTTCCACAAACGCAACTGCCACACAGTGCGAAAAAAAAGAAGTACGCCTTTCCCGGTGCCCCGTTTTTTTTTTTTTTTTTAATTTTATGAACATGAAACATACAAGATAACTTGATTCAATTGAAGCATAAATAATTGAGAATTACTGAAAACTGTTTTTAAATTTAAAATATTTCAATATTTATAAAATTTTTTCGAAATTGATTCCCTCTTTTTTAAGGCTGGGCAAATGTTTTATGTCTCAGTGTTTAATATTCTGTGATGCGAGTGCACGAAAGGGCGAATTTACCGCTATTCCTTGACGTGCCACCTACAATCACACCCTTTTCTCTCCACATCTGTATCTTTGGCAACTGCGTCGACGTTGGCAGCGGCAGCGACACGGGCAGAGGCGGCGGCGTTGTCGTTTTTGTGGTTTGACATTGAACTCGAAATTGATGCGCGCCGCTGAGCAAATGCGTTCCACCTCCCTCGCTCTCCCACCTTTCTCTCTCTCTCTTTCTCTCACGCTCTAGCCCTCTCGCTCTAGCCGGCTTCGTCTTATTAGCAATTTCGCTTCGCCACCTTTTTTTAGTGTGTGTTTTTGTTGTTATTGTATTTAGTGTTTTATTTGGCTTTTGGTTTTGGAGGGCAAGTTCAGTGAACTTATAGAAAGCGCCACGGTAGAAATCTCTTTTTTTCGGGCTTTGACTTTCGAGCTAGCCGAAATCTAGGTGTGAGTGAAGGTGTGTGAGTGTACTGAGCAATTAGCAAGTGAAAAGGAGGCCGGAGAACGATCACGGCTA